AAAACAAAAACAAAACAAATACAAAAGCAGAAACAGACTCATAGACATAGAATACAAACTTGTGGTTGCCAAGGGGGCGGGTGGGGGGAGGTGGGAAGGGACAGACTGGGATTTCAAAACGTAGAATAGATAAACAAGATTACACTGTATAGTACAGGGAAATATATACAAGATCTTGTGGTAGCTCACAGTGAAAGGGAATGTGACAATGAATATATGTATGTTCATGTATGGCTGAAAAATTGTACTCTACACTGGAATTTGACACAACATTGCAAAATGACTGCAACTCAATAAAAAATGTTTAAAAAAATATAATGGTTATGGAATTGAATATTATATTCACTAAGTACATAATAATGCTATTTCTTATTTTCTTCTGATTTATGAGTTTTCTAAACTTGTGGGTTGGACTGAAAAGTAATAACTTCATATTTTTGCTCCAGAATAGTTTTTAATGATCTTTGCTTATCAGTAACTTAAAAATGGACCTTCCATTTTTCTATTGATTCTTCCAAATTCTGATGGCAGATAGGGGTATAAATAATTTCAGATTCTCAGCACTCAGCACCCAGTGGAATCTGCCAGTTAGGCTCCTTTCAAATGCAATTATGCTTTGTTAAATTTATGAGATGTTTTATACGTGAAGAATGAAATAATGTAATTTTACTCTATAGAAAAAATTTTTCTCTGATCACTAGGATTTGTGGAGTTGCTACCTATAAAGGTTAGTTGAAAAGATACTGCTAGTTGATGTAAAAGAGGAACAATAATCATAATGTGTTCTGTGTGTCAGATAAGACACTGGTTTAAAAAGATTGAAACCATTCATGGAAATTTGTCTTAATCAGCAATCAATATTTTCCCATTTGATTGAATGCTACTTAAAAAGTCCATGGGTTCATAAAAAGGTAGAGGAAAAAGGGTCTTCAAGGCAACCATAAACCTCTTCCTTTTTATAAATCAGGAAACTTAATGATAGAGGTTATATAAGATCCTAAGAAGAAATTAAAGCATCCTACCCTCCAGAATAATTGTCTTCCCTCAGTTGTTTATTCTTCACCTAAAATAGGGTAATCTGTCTCTAAAAGAACTTCAATAAGCTCCATTCTCTCAGTTATACATCGTTTGATATATCTAAGCCTAAGTTTACGGACAGGATGGAAAGGAGAAAAAACTCAAAAGGCCAAATTTGTCTGACTTCACCTTTCTTATAGACGTTATTTTAGGCAAGGTCACTGCATAAATAGATTCAGAAGAAACAAGAACAAAAAGGTCGCTGGAGTGTAATGCTGGGATAGGGGTGGGGAGATTGAGTTAATAAGCTTTAGATTCACATCTAACATGAATAAAGTCTTGGGTGATGGCTTTCAAGTTTTCAGCACTGGACAGCACCCCTACTCAAAAAATAGGTCTTCAGAAAAGGAGTTACACTGCTGAAGCCTGAATTGGAACTTTCTCTTTATGGGATACGAAAAAGGAAGATTATTTCCAAGATTATAAGTCTTGTTATTTAAGCAAAAACGCAAACCAACACAGTTGAGTAATGTTTTTAATAGCACAGATTGAAACAAAAGAAATTCTCTGTTTAACCCAGAGTTAATCAGAACATTAAATTAGCCAAAATACTCTGAGCATCTGGATTAATTAAATTTTAGTAGGAGAGAGATGCACATAAACTGAATGGGCCATTTGGATGCACAGTGGGATTTAAAGCAGGATGTGTTGTGCTCTGAATTTGGAACTGGAAAACAATCTGTCAGGTGCTGAATGTCAGAGAAGTCTTTATTATGGGGAAGATGCTAATGGGGATAAAAGAAGGTACATTAGGTGACGTCATGATCATCAGCAAATCTATTGAGGATCCAAGTAGAGAACACTGTACCTGTCGCTAGTTAGTATGAAAAAATGAGTGAGTTAGTTACTTTGTCTGCATGGAATGAAACAATCCATTTGACTTTTATTTTCAATGTCTTGTTTGGATTAATTGATGTGTTGGTGCTGGGTAGAGATAACATAGGTTTATGCCCCAACACGTCTAGAACTCCATATCTTGAAGTTGTGACCAAGTCCAGGCTTCTTTCTCAGGTTGCTGCTAAGATTCTGCACACTAAATTCACCTTGGGAATAACTTTAATTTTTTTCCCTTAAACTGTATGAGAAAAAGTCATGACTGCCTCGCTGCCAAATTATCAAAATATTTTAGGACTACACCATTTTTCTTTTAAGGTTTTCATTAAATAATAACAAAGCTTGAGTTTTATGGTTTTTCTTTAATTTCAATTAAATTAAACATTAGTTATGCATGCATGTGGATATCCAGTTTTCCCAATATCATCATTGAAGAAACTATCCTTTCCCCATTGTGTATTCTTGGCACCCTTGTTGAAGATTAGTTGTGTCTTCTTTAGTTTCTTTCATCAATGTTTTGTAGTTTTCAGTATGCAGATCTTTTACCTCCTTGGTTAAGTATTTTATTCTTTTTGATGCTTTTGTAAATTTAATTGTTTTCTTGATTTTCTGTTTGGATAGTTTGCTGGTGGTTTAAAGAAACACAACTGATTTTTTAATATTGATTTTTTATCCTGTAACTTTACTGAATTCATTCATTAGTTCTAATTTTTTAAATGGAGTCTTTAGGGTTTTCTGTGTATAGGATCATGTTATCTGCAAAGAGAGACAGTTCTGCTTCTTCCTTTCAGATTTGGATGCCCTTTGTTTCTTTATCTTGTCTAATTGCTCTGATTAGAACTTTCAGCACTGTGTTAAATAGAAGTGGCAAGAGTAGGCATCTTTGCCTTATATTGGATCTTAGAGGAAAATATCTCAGTGTTTCCACAGTGATTATGATGTTAGCTGTGGGCTTTTCATAAATGGCCCTAATTATGCTAAAGTAAGTTCCTCCTATATTGACTTTGTTAAGAATTTTTATCATGAACAAATGTTAAACTTTGTGAGATGCTTTTCCTATATCTATTGAAATGATCATGTGATTTTTATTTTTCATTATATTAACGTGGTGTATCACATAGATTGATCACCAATTTTGCATCCCAGGGAAAAATCCAACTTGGTGATGGTGCATAATCTTTTGATATACTGTTGGATTCAGTTTGCTGGTATTTCATTGAGGAATTTTGCATCTATATTTATCAGAGATATTGACCTGTAGTTTTGTTTTGTTTTTGTAGTGTCTCTGGCTTTGTTCTCAGGGTAATACTGGCCTCATAAAATGAGTTTGGGAGTACTTCCTCTTCTTCTGTTTTCAGAAGATTTTAAGAAGGATTGGTATTAACATGGTATTAATATTCTTTGATGATTTGATAGAATATGCCTGTATAGCCAGCCATCTGGTCCTTGGCTTTTCTTTCTTGGAAGGTTTTTATTTACTAATTCATTCTCCTATTGGTCTGTTTGTTGCTGGTGATTAGGTTCATGTCTCACCACAGAAAGAATTCAGAGATGAGACAAGGAGGTTAAGAAAGTAAAGTGGAAATTTATTAAGGCATTGATAGTACACTCTCAAAGGGAGAGTGGGCAGGCTCAAGAGAGCAGCTGCCCTGAATTTCTTTGGCAAGTTGGTTGCATAGAGTATAAAAATGAATGGGTAAAATATTCATTGGGGAGGGAAGGGTTTGGGGTTATATTCCCTGATTTTCCTCCCAACTCCACCTTCCCAAAGGGAGGAGGGATTTTTGTCCTTATTTGGTCTGGATTGGAAGTGTCATGGCATTGGTGCTTGATGGGTACTTCTAATCTGCAAGGCTAATTTTTCTGAAATGAGGGCATAATGATCAAAAAGTTTACAATCTGACAGTGGAGATTTCTGCCTTTTCCCACCTTTCTTGGTTGGCCTCCAGGCCACTCATTACTCCCAAAATATGTGATAGATTATCAGCCCGGAGGATCCTGCTTTTCTTTGTCTTCCCAGGGACCCCTGTTGCTTACATGATACATGGTTTCCTGCATTTGGCCCGTGTCCCTCCTTTTTTGCCCAATTCCTGCCATTTGGCCGGGGTCTCCCTTTCTCTGCTCATACCTAGCTGTCTGTCTGCTCTAACATGCTCAAGCTTTCTAATTTTCGGTTTAGTTTTGGTAGGTGGTATGTTCCTAGGAATCTGTCTGTTTCTTCACGGTTATACAATTTGTAGGCATATAATTGTTCACAAAAGTCCCTTATTACCCTTTTTATTTCTCAGCCTCCTCCCTTTCACTTCTGGTTTTGTTTGAGTCTTCTCTCCCTTTTTCTTGGTCTAGCTAAGAGTTTCCTAATTTTGCTTATTTTTTTTTCCAACAAACCAACTATTAGTTTTATTGATTTTTTTCTATTCTCTATTTGATTTATTTTTGCTCTGATTGTTATTATTTCCTTCCTTCTGCTAACCTTGGGTTTAGTTTCTCCCCCTCCTCTTCCTCCTTCTTGGTTTGTTGAGCTATAAAGTTAGGTTGTTTATTTGAGATCTTTCTTGTTTTTCAGTGTAATCATTATCATTGCTATACCTTCCTGTTGAATTGATTTTTTTTATCATTATATAAAAGATCCTTTTTGTCTCTAGAGACGGTTCTTGACTTAAGTGTAGACCCTCCTGATTTCTCTTGGTTACCATTTGCATGGCATATCTTTTAGGGACAGGATACTCTTGATGGGTGAGGGAAAGTCTTAGTGGATGGAACTCTGTGCCCTCCAACCAAGATGCCACGAGAGGAGCTGTACCGATATTTTCTTTCTTCATTAGGGCTTTATTTAAGATTTCCTTAGAGGAAAAATTACAACAAAAAGATTTGCTTACCAAGTTAGAAGGTCCTCTGTGCTGCCCACTGACCCAGCCTCACCCGGACACCCAGGCAGACGTTGCCTCTCTGGCTGGTATTTCAGCAATTCTCTAGGCTGGATCTTGTGTTCAGGGAGGTCTTCTCTAGACAGGTCACTCAGGGTGCAATCAGTTACATTTTGGCTTACTAAACTTTACTTCTTATTATGTATGATTTGAATTTTATATCCCCAAAAGTCCCTGCCCCTGGTGCCTGTGATTGTGCCCTTATTTAGAAATAGAGTCTTTGCAGATGCTCTAGTTAAGATGACCCTCTTAATGCAGTATGA